CTTTGCCACTGTATTTTGGGAGATAAAGAGCTTTGACCACCACAGAATTGGTGAAACAGATGTGAATCACCTTTCCCAAATGAAAAAACCTAACCCAGAATGTTAGTTGCTTTGGGCTTTGGTGTCTGAAAGAGGGAGGCCCTCACTTGCTATTCTCTACAGATGGTCATGCTGCAGGGGGCCCTGCAGGCCTGGGCTGGAAGCTATGCAGGATGTAGCGGTCACAGTCTACCTCTTCTCTCTGCTCTGTGCTGTGGTCTGTGTCCAGGGCCCAAGGCAGTCAGAGGACCCCTGTCCTCAGGAGCCAGACCCAGCCCCTCTGCAGATCTAGCAGGGGCCCCGCTTTCTACACCACGAAGGCACCCACACAAACACACCCACACACCCCGTGATCAACCTGGCTCCATCTCCTGCTCTCCCCACACACTGGCCCCAGCACTGGCCCTCGAGGCCTTTGCTTGGTGCCCTCATCCTGGGTGTTCTTCCCTCCTGGTGTCCTCACCCCTCACAAGTCCCTGTTCAGATGTCATCCCACCCTGGGCCCTTTGCTGACCACTGTCTTAAAGGGCAAAACGCCCTCTTGGCACTCTACTCTCGAGAGCAGTGGCACCACCTGACATACAACACATAGATGTGTTGGCATCACCTGTCTCCTGCCAGAACACCTGCACTAGGCCTGGGTGATTCCACCTCTGCAGCCCTGCTCCTGGCACATGCCTGCACAGAGTAGGTGTTTGCTAGCATTCTTCACCAAATGAATGCACAGACTGCCTGGCCTGTGCATGGAATTCTCCAAACCACAGTTCCTTGCCCTCTAAAGCAGTGGCTGCTGCTGTGCTTATTAATTCCAAAAGGCAAGAAAAGAATTTTCATTTCTTTTGGAAGAGCTCTTTTGGAAGAGCTATGGAGAGCTCTTTAGGATACCAGCTTTCCCTGAGGCAAAAGAACCCCACACCTTCTGTGTTGGGGTAGCCTCCCAGATGACCCCCAAACGTGTTTCCAACCTCGAGGTGCTAGGCACTGGCTGGTGACTGAGTGGGGAAGCTCATCTGGAGAAGACAGGGAAGACATGGCCATGACTGTCATAGTGGTGCCCCTTCAGCCCTGCTCAGGGTATCGGGAGCCCAGGCATGGCAGGAGTGAGTGACAGAGCAAGTACTTTGAAGCCGAATGATGCTCCCAGTTCCCTGACCCTCACCAGTGGGCTCTTCTCTCTCGGCACATTTTAAAGTTTGGTTGCTGACACCGGTTCCTTCAGGTGCTCTCTCATTCCTTTGCACATTTCTCTACGTGTGTGTTGTGGATCTCACACTCCCTGGACTGTGGACTCTACCAGCACAGTGGCCCCACGTACCCCACTCAGGCAGTCCTCCAAGCCTGGAGCAGCACCTGGTGCCCAGCGGGTGCTCGGAGGGCAATCATGGGCGGACTGATGAGTGACGAATGCAAGAGTGAGCTTCTGCTTGTGCTGTGCCAGAGGGAGGTGCCCGGCACCATGGGCACCCTGTAGAGGCCATGGGAGAGAGTTGGCAAGTGCTTCCCAAAGGGCAAGTGCCTGAGAATGCCCTAGCCTTGGCTTCCCTGGGTCCTGTCTTTGCTCCTTCTCACCCAGTTTCCAAGGGTAAGGTGGGCAGCTGAGGGCAGAGCTGTGTGCTCTGGAGTAGGGACCTGTAGCTCCTCACAGCCTTCTGGCAGCCCTCATGCCCAGTGCCAGCCTCTGTCAGCTCTGAGCCAGGGCATGCAGGACCTAGAGTGGGAGTTAGGAAAAAGAGACCCGCACCAGCCCCCGTGAGGGCAGCAGATATTGCGGGTGCAGGTTCTGGAGCCAGCTGTCTAGATTCAAAGCCAGCCCCCTATGCCCTGGCTGTGGGAACCGATGCAAGTCACTCAGGCCCTGTCAGCTTGTTGCTCCTCACCAGGGAGCACGTTCCACATGTGGGCCCTGCCCACCAGACAAGCAGTCCTGCGTGGACGGAGCCTGCCCAGGGAGGCAGGGTCATCGTCTTCTTGTTGTAAGTGAGGAGACCTAGGATGCCTCAGCTCACCCGTGACAGAAACTACTATCTACCTGTATTCTAGACAGGGTCTGCCTCCGTGAGCTGAGGCATGCAGCATCTTGCTCAGGGCCCAGCTGCCATGGGCACTCAGTGCTATTACCCCTGCCCTGACCCAGAGCATCCCCAGCCCCAGGCAGAGCCAGGTAAGTGACAGGAGGCTGTCCCTCACGCCAAGCTCCCTTCCCAGCATGTTGTCTGGGCCACCATGTGCAATTGGCTCCTGCCTTACCCCTGAGCCTACCTGTGCCCACCTAAGAGGGTGTGGGGGGATGACAGAGGCCGGGCCTGGCACACACAGGCTGCTCAGGTGCTACCTGGGCTGGCTGTCTGTGGGATCCATGTGCCCTCGGGCTGGTGTAGGGTACCATGAGCAAGGAAGGGGGTGGTGGGTTCAGCCTCCTCCGGTGTTTGCTGTCTCCTGTGGCCCTGGCTTCCCTTGGACTTTCAGGGTCTTCAGAGGATAGGGGGCTTCCTCTGAGCCCAGCCCTGCTCTCAGAGGCCCACATGTGGTAGCCGTATATCCGTGGGAATGAGCAGGAGGTGGCAGCTTTTCCCGACGTCCAGACACCTGGCCTTTAAGGCTTCCACACACATTTTAAAAAACAAAGAGGCTTTCTTTCCAGGGCCCTCTGTGGGGCCATCCCTGTCCCAGGCCCTCTCTGAGGGTTTCCCCGCTCCCCATCATAACAACAGGACCCATTTCACAAACAAGGAGACTGAAGTTCAGTGCACCACCTCCCAGGCACCTGCAGAACTGAGCACCTTCCCATGATACATGGTACTGCTGCTGCAGGGCCAGACCTGGGAAAGAGGCCGTAATGACAGCTGTCCTTTTGGTACACTTACTGGTATGTCCCAGACAGAAATCCCGGTGTTCATGCTGCTGCAGAAACACAAACACCCGCACTGTTTCACTGGTGTTGGCCCTGCCCCCGGGCCCCATCCTCACCAGCCCTTGGAGCCCAGGCCTCTGAGGGTGGAGAGACGCCTGGCTGGAGGTGCCCCAAGCTGAGACCTATGCACTTCAAGGCCTTGGGGCAGCATCTCCCAGATGTAAAACAACCCCCACCCAGCCACAATGCAGGATCTGAGCCTGTGGCCACTAAGAGATGCAACCTGCCCAGGGCAGAGGCACAGACTGTGTTTTGGAAGAAAGGAGGCGCAGTGCCACTAGACAAGGTCCTCCAGCTCCTCAGCAGCAATGCTGGGCAGTACTGGGCCAGGGACTACTGCAGAGAGCCCGAGGCCATGGCTGAGGATGATTAGCCAAGAGGCAGTTGCAGTGGGAGGTGCTGAGGGCTGTGAGGTAGGTGCAGGGCCAGGGACCAGGATGTGGCCACTTGTGGGCACATGCTTTGTGCCTGACCCTTGGCTGGACATTGGGGACCCATTTGGTCACATGGGTCTGAGAGCTGAGGTGGACACATGGCCAGTGGTTGATGCACGTGTGCAGCAGGAGTGCAGCAGCATCGGAAAGCATATGGGCATTCCACGGTTGGGGGGTCAGCCCATGAGCATACCCACCTCCCCTGGGCCTTGCAGCCACAGGCCACCTCTAGGATCTGCCTCCCAGGGGCAGTGTTTGGGCACTTGGCCATCAGCACAGATACAGGTTGCCAGGCCCCAGCCCCTGTACCTGTGCTCACCCTGGGCCTCAGCCTCTGCAGATCAGGGAGGGATGGACTGTTGGAGTCTGCAGCTTTCAAATCAGAATTGTGGATGGGGACTAGTGATGCCACGCCACCCCTGCCCTTCCTCTGTCAGCGAGAGGACAGCCAGCACCGCTGCCTGCCCTCAGCCTCTTACTCTACTCTGGCAACGGGGCTGATACAGTAATCAGGGTGCCACATATGGGCTCTGGAAAATGACTGCTCCCCAGGCCTTTGTTCCCCTTCATTATTCTGGATGGGTTTTTTTTTCCCCAAGCCATAAAAATGACATTTTTAATATGTGGATTTTTTTTTAAAGAAAAGCAATATGAAGAAGACTTTTATTGTCAATAAGCTCTACCTTTTAAACCAGTTATCTTAGTTTCTGCTCTAGGTATTTTAATTGAAGATTAACTGCTGTTAAAGAGTATATACATTTAGGGAGTGAGTGTTTGGAGTATTAAAATTCAGCTCCCTTGGTGGGGACGGAGATCCGTGGGAGGCCACCAGGAACCATGCTCCCCCCCCCCCCCCACCCCCGTGACAAGCCTTGGGTGGCTGTCTGAGGAGGAGAGCCACCTACAGGAGGGGCCCATCCTTGCCTCTGGCTGCAGGCTTTTCTTTCATTGGAGCAGGCAGGCCGGGCTGAGTCCTAGCCCCCCAGGGGAGCAGAAGGCAGCCAAGGGCACATGGCTGTGCAGTCAGGAGGGCTTTCTGGCCCGGCCTCGGCACCCTTGATTGAAGCAGGTCCTTCCCCGCAGTCAGCCACTGGGTTTGGGGCACAAAGGAAGGAGAGAAGGAAAGGCCCACTGACCGAGCACCCCGTGTGCCAGGACTTCCACATGCAGCACTGGTCTCCACAGCCCTGAGCAGGAGGAGTATCTTCCCTGTGCTGCTGGCAGCATGGGGCCTTATGTCCAGCATCTATGTCCCTGGGCAGGTCCTGTCCTCCTCATTAGACACGTCCCCAGCATCCTCACAGCATCAGGAGATCAGGCGCCTGTTATCTCTGCGTCACAAGCAGGCAGGAGATTTCAGCAAGTGTGTGAGGCCTCAGGGCCAGAAGGTGGAGCAGGAGCCACAGGGAGTAGCCTCAGCTGGGGCCTCAGCAGGCCGGCCAGCGGTGGTCCAGTCCTGCCTGACCCACTGCTCCCATGAGGCCATGCTGCCCCACTCAGACCTGCCCAGGCAAATGTCACCTTTTCCACCACAGTCTTCCTGATCCCAGCTTCCTTCCTCCCGCTCCTCTGAACACCCAGGTGCAACTGTCTATTGCACTTCCCTTTCTTCCCAGGGTTTTTTGCTGCTGTCATGGGTCTGCATGCAAGTGGTTTGCATCCAAGTTTCCCTCTCCCTCAAGATGCCTGTGAGAACAAAAAGAGGAGAAAGCTCTGCATTTGATCAGAGGTTCCTTTTTTCATCGGGCCCAGCTTCCTCCCAGCCGAGTGGAACTCCTGCCATCCTCCCTCATAAGGTATCATGGCCATGCAATGAGATGGTGTCTGTCCAGTGCACACCGCAGCATACCCAGACTGGTCAGCATCCAGGAACAAGGCCCTGTGGAGGTCTCAGCCTTGGGTGGAGCTTAGTTAGCTCCAAGCTGATGGAGATACAATGATATGGCACCCTCAGCCAGGGTTTGAGGGTGATCTGTCATGGCCATGATCAGAATGGCAGTGGCCTCTCTTTACAAGCGCTTCCTGGAGACAGCTGGGCCATATTTCTTATTCCCACCATCCCTCACCCCAACTGAAGAAGAAACCAAAGCTCAGAGCAAGCCAGTCAGGCTGCTGTATCACCAAGCCTGGTGTCCAAACCCCAGCCATGGGCACACAGCTCAGGCTCCGACAGCACCACTGTCATCTCTGCCTGCCCTGCAGGTGTCAAGGCAGACCTGCCTTCCCTAGGCACAGTCACTGTCCTCTACAGTGACCCAAGACAGCTCGATCACCATTCCAGCCAAACAGAATCTGCTGAAGGAATGGCCCTGCCCCCTAGGGGGTCCCTCATTCTAGGGGCACGTGTGTGTCTACGTGTGGGTCGTGTATGTGTGCACGTCATGGACCAGGCCTGGCTTACCAACAGTACAGGCAGAGAGTGGCAGCCAGCAGTGCCAGCGGAGAAGAGAGACAGCCCCTTCCTCTAGCTCCAGCTACCTGGAGAGGAACCTGGGCTTCTCCAACTACGGGCAAGGACATGATCACTTCTCTGCCACTGCCTGTCTATGTGGCCTTGGACACGTCAATTTGTATCCCCGGGCCTCCACTTCCCCCTCTGAATGATGGATTGGATAATGTACCCTCCGCACATGAGTTGAGGCATAGAAAGTACTTTTCTGATCCTTCCTACACCAAGCCCTATACCAAGCACTGGGACACACTGTCAAACGGGATCCAGTCTCTGCCCTCCCGAAGCCCCCATCCATGCACACAGCTGCTGAGAGTTGGGACTGTTTCCTGAGGGTGGATGGCCTAGTGGGCTATGGTGCTGTGAGGGATTTGAGCTCAGGCCCACCACATTCTTGCTGTGTTAACTTGGGCAAGTTCCTGAATATCTCTGTGCTTCAGTTTCCTGGTGTGTGAATAGCCTGGTTTTGAACTGAGGCATGCTGTTTTCTGTGGAGCATGTGAAATGGTGCAGTGAACCATTTTTGTAAAGGTGCAGTGAACGTTAGCTGTGATTGCTACTGGGCTTCTTTCTGTGGTTGTTGAGAACTGGCTGGTGCCCATTTTGGGGCATTTTGGGCCAGACCTCCCTCACACAACATGGTCTTTTCTCTGTCAGGCCACCCTCTCAGCCATCTGGGCTGCTTTCAGTGCCAGTCTCCACAGTGGCAAGGCCTCGCAGCCCACAGTTCTGGTTGTCAGTGGTCCCCCAACTGGCAAATACAGCACTGGCACCCTGAGCCTCCACCCTGGAAGTGTCTGGAGACAAGGCCCTACCTGGCCCAGCCCCACTCCCTTGGGCCTGGGAGATGTCAGGTGGTAAGAAACATCTCCCAGGTAGTCAGAGGAGGTGATCCCACACCCTTGCCTCTTGCCATCCTTCCTCCTTCCACAGGAGATGGCTGCAACCCCTGCCCCCACCTCCTGTGGCACTGCCCTCCAGGCTGCTGTATTCCCTGTAGCCAGACTCCCAGGCCTGTGGCAAGGTGGACAGCTTCGTGAAGCTGGGACCTGGATGCAAATCGCTGCTCCCTGGCTTACCAGCTATGTGACCCCAGGCAGCTATCACGCCTGCCTATAAAGTGACTTATAGGACATCCTGAGGCTGCAATAAAATTGGGAGGCATGTGGAGGAGGCTGCTAGATAGGCAGTCGCTATGAGGGTGGCAGTGGTAGCATCAGAGGGGACCTCTGGCCAAGCCCCGTCCTACCTGCCAGCCTGTAGAGCCCAGCTTGCCCAGGGCTGCAGTCCAGTATCCTCCCCATCTAGACACTTGTCAAACCTCAGCCCCACCCAAGGCAAGCCAAAAGGGTCCCCAGAAGCACAGCTGCCCAGGCTCACCTTCTGCCACTGAGGCTGCTCAGCTCCAGCCCAGGGGCAGACCTGCTGCCCAGCTGACCCCTACTCATTAAGTACATGGCTTATTCTCTCTGGACAGAGGAGTTGGGCATCCATCCAGCTGCCCTGGCCCATGCATGAGGGGCATGAGCCCCAGGAGAAGGGGCTAGGCCCAGGCCTCCCCACTGATTCCTCCTCCCAGTTCTGGGCAGGCAGGCTCACTACCTACAGGGATGTTGACAGGAGAGTCTGTGCAGTTCAATTCTCTCACCTCTGCCACTGGCCCAGCTGGCAGGTGGTCGGCAGACCTGCTTACCCTCCAGCCTCTGTGCACTGACAGGACCCTGTGGAGGCTGCCAGGCTGGAGGAAGGTGATGAACCCAGAAGGTGGGCGGGGGAGCTCTGACCCCATTGGCAGATGAGGTGGGGTGCGTGAGGGCTGCGGTCACCAATGCTGCCCCTTCCTGTCATTGCTGGGCTGCTGCAGACCCTAACTATCTCTGGGGACATCAGATCTGTACTCAGGGTAGAGTGTGGAGGGCCTTGGCCCTAGGGGAAGGCTGGGCAGCCATCAGAGAAGGCTAAGCCAAGATGCTACAGAGCCTCGTGTTCAGGGAGCCAAGGGAGACAGAAGTGTGTGAGGTAGACAAGTGTCATGGGTTCCCCAGGCTGAGGGAGCACTAGTCCCGAGGCTGGGGCAGTGCTGAGATAGGAGAGGAGTGTGTGGTAAGGACATGCAGGCTGTAGGGGCAGCTCCTGGGGGGAATTTGGACCCTGGCTGAATGGTTGTGAGGGGCTGAAGAGGTCTTCAGTGAGCAGCTGAACTGAGAGGAATGTTGCGTTTTTGCCCTAGAAGAATCTCTGGCAACAGCACTAAGGACAGGCTGGTGGGGGAGGGGCCTGGCTGCTCATGCACAGGAGCCCCATGTCCATGCCCTGGGGTAAGGACCTTCTCCTGCTGGGTCTGGATGGGCACCTAGAGCAGGGGCCTCCAAGGAGTCTGCAGCAAACCACCCGCTGAGCTGTCCCAAGAGGCTGGGCAGGCACTCCACTCACAGCTGTGTGAGCCCTAGCCTGAGCTTCTAGCCTGCACAGCAAGGAGGGTAACCCTTGGGCTGCTCTGCGAACACACCTCACAGTGGCCTCACAGCCATTCCACAGGGTTCCAGAAGGGTAGGCTGAGATTCCCGCTCTGGTGAGGGACAGGGCCAGCCCTGCAGCAGCAGCCCCTCCAGGAGGCAGCTAGTGCAGCCGGTCCCAGAGGGACTGAGAATTTAGGACAACAAACTTTCCTCCCCAGAGGCTGCCACTCCCTATATAATTGAGTATCAGAGCCAGGTTATTTTCTGCCTATTTTAGAACGGATTTATTTTTTGCCTTAAAAAAAAAACCTTCCTTCCACATAATGCACCGGTGTTCCCTCCCCACACACCCCAATCTCCACAGCTTTGACTGCATTATAATTTCAATTTACGTGGTGTGGGAAAGATTTCTGCAAAGGGCCCTTTTTTGTTTTTGAAGAATTCATCATTGCTGCTAAGAAGCTTAATATAAATTAAAGGAGGAATTAGGCAACATTAAGACATCAAAATGGGGGTGCGGGGCGCTGGTTGCCTCCGCTTCCGCCCAATCAAAGGGGCGCACGAGCCCGTTGAGTGTGCGCTGGAGAGCCTCAGAAAGAGCGAGGCTCCAGCGAAGGGCCCGCTCCGCCGCCTGCCTCCCCCTAATTCCTTTTGTTGCAGGGACAGCGGAGTACAGGTCTGATAAAAACTTAATCACCTTATCTTTTTAAAGCAAATTGCATCTTTGTTTACATACGGGATCCATAGCAGGGAGAGAAGGAGAGAAAACCAAGGAGCAGGCCCGCCCCAGCCAGCGACGTTCAAGGCTTTATATCCCTAGGAAAACACAGAAGAGCCCAGCCTGACAAAGGTGGCTGGAAGATTGCAGAGTCACTGTCACTGCTCACAGAGGAGACTGGTGTCAGGACTGTCCCCTCTCAGGGAGCACTCACACTGGCTCTCTCTGCCTACCTGGCCCTCCCTAGCCTTGCCAGGCCTGTCCTCCTGGGCCTCTCTGTCCCCAGCTGGGTCTGTCAGAGCTAAGCCCTCATCTCCTCTGTCCATCCTCTGGGCCCAGACTGCCCTGGCCTGCCAGCAGGCAGAGGGGTCTGCATTCAGACTCAGCTGCACCACAACTGCCAGGAAGCCAGGGCAAGTCATTGCACCTCCATGATGGGGGTGTTGATGTCAATCATAGCCTCCATTTGTTTCAGATGTGACCACCAGGCCTCATGTTGGGGCCACTTCCACCCTTGCCAGTTTCCCCCTTCTTTCTGCCTTCCCACCCCTGGCCTCAGAGGCAGCTCCTGTTTGGCCAGGCCTGCTTCCAGCCCAGCCCTGACTTAGAGGTTTCATGGGGCACTGTGCCACCCACACAATTCCATGACCAACTGTGGCCAGTGCAGGTCTGCTTCCTGTTGAGGGGCAGAACTCTGTCCCAGCTGCCCTGTGGCCCCTGCTGACGGGGATGGCCTTGCTAGGCAGCCCCTCCTGTTCCTGGAGTCCAGTATCCAGTCCAGCCCCAAGCCTAGCTGAATCCAAGGCCCTCTGTGGCCATCCAGTCTGGCCATCCCATATGTCAGCCCCATCACAGTCCATCCAGGCATATCCCTCTGAGCTCCTAGCTGTCAGTGATCACTAGGATGCTGACCCCAGAGAGAGTCCCTGCCCCTGGCTCGGGCTGTCTTCCAACCCTCTCCAAAGCTGCTTGTTAACAGCAATGGGTAGTGCTAGAGTGACTAGAGTGGCCCCAACCCCACAGGGCCACCAAGGGGGCCAGTGACCCCAGGCTGCTTGCAAGGGTTCAGTTCCCACTGGGACATGCAAGCCACCCACCAGCATGGAGACCCCTCTTCCAGTCTGGCCTCCAACATGAAAGCGACGCCAGCAATTGGAGGCAATTTGCCGGCCTTTGATGGCCGTGTCAGGGCAGCACCGTGGCCAGGGCTTGGGAAACAGTTTTGCTTCCCGCATTCTTCCCTGATTACCCCAGCCTGAGCCAGGACCCAGCAGCCTGCAGCCCATTGTGCCTTTGTGTGAAGTTGGCGCTTTGTGAGAAAGGGCCAGCCTGGCCCTGGGAGAGTGTCCCCATGGGAAGCCAAGAGGAGCAGTGTTGCCCTCAGGGTCATGGCCACCCACCCCTGCTGCATCCTGGGGTTTGAGTTTGTCAGTGGGTAGAGCAGGGCCGCAGGCTCTGAGAATCCTGAGGTTTGGGAAAAGGGAGACCCTGTTGAATGACCAACACATGTGTAGCACACACACCCTAGCCCGCCCTGCCAGGTAGAGAGCCACACTTCAGCACATCGGAGAGGGGCCAGGGGGCCAGGCCAGCCTGGGACCTGAACCTGGACTTCTTACTCCCTTGGGTCACTCAAGTGCAGATAGGTGTTTTCTGGTCCTGGAGGCAGGGGCCCTGCTCTGCTGAGGCATTTTTCTTCCCTCTGCTGTCCTGCACCCCTGCTGTGAGTGCTTGTGAGGATGAATCCATACTCATTCCCTTTGTTTTCATCCAGCAGACCTCCCTGAGCCCCTGTGCTAGGCTCTGCATGCAACCTGAGAAAGGCACACTTTCACAGGCCACTGGGGAAGGCAAGCACATAAGGCAATGACAGCCACAGTGGTGCTGGGCAGGGCGCCCAGGAGAAGCTTACTCAGCCAGGCAGCTGAGGGGTGCCTTCCTAAGGGGCAGAGTAAGAGCACGGCAGGCAGAAGGAACTTCATGTTCCAAGGCCCTGCACAGCTTCTCATAGCTGAAGTATGGTACGTGATGGGGTCAGAGAGGGAGGAGGGGTGAGGCTGAGAGAGGCCAGAAAGAGAATGGACGCTTCTGTTGGTGGAGCCAAGTCTAGATGGCTGACCCAGGCCCTAGAGCAATCCTTGGGACAGCCAGGCGGGATAAGGGAGGAGGCTACAAGACAGAGCTGGAGGAGGGTGGACTCCTGCGCCCACACCTCCCAGTCACTGCTTTTGTTGTAAGCAACAGCAGTGTGGGGACCTTGAATTTCCAGCAGCCATGAAGGAGCCATGAGCATCACCACCCCTACCATACCTCTTGTCCCTGTCCTTCCTGGGCAAAGCCAGAATGTGGCAGAGACATCACCATGGGCCTAGAGGTGTCAGTAAGCTTCCTGGCCTCCCCTCCCCTCCCTGGCCCCTTTGTGCCATAGATTGAGCAGGTTCCAGCCAGATTGCACCGGTAGGCACCGTGCCTTCTCTGGGCTCCCATCTGGATGCCAGAGACCACAGTGAGGGGGGTCCTGTAATAGACATCCCTTGTGAGTAACCCAGGGTCACAGTAGAAGCCTTGGGAAATACATAAAAGAAGAAAGAAGGAACAGTGCTTGCAAAGCCAAATGGAGAGTCTTGCGGTCTCTTTTTCCTTCATCCCAGGGCTGCAGCAGAACTCTTCCAAAAATTTTGACTGCTACATTTTTTTTGAATCAACATTATAACAGAAGTCTTTGAGTACCTTGAAACTCTTCTCAGGTATCACTTTTAGTCCCACAGAACATTTTTGCTGCAGCAAATAGATACTGGATGGGTCTGGACAGGCCTCCCTTGGTCTTACAGGCCCTTTGTAGCTCTCAAAACTGTGTAGCTCCCTTAGTGGGTAAGCACACAGCCTTTGGAATCAGATAGCCTGGTGTTCCTGCTCCGCCTCTAAATAGCTGTGTGACCCTGGGCAAGCTACCCGCTCTTCTGTGCCTTAGTTTCCTCGACACAGTGTTCCGAGGATTAAGTACCTCCATGCTGTGATGACATCTTTATGTACGAATCTTCAGACCGCTTGTTTGGACTGAATTCCTAGAAGTGCCTTTCTTAGTTCACACTGTGACCATCTGGGGACCTTGTCCCTCCCAGGTTGTCACCAGCCAGTGCTTAAACAGTTGCCCTTCGGGTTCTTGGCAAACCAGAGCAGTTTGCCCTGGGCCCCAGCGGGGTCTCCTCCAATACTTAATCGTTGAGTGTTCTCTGAGTGCCCACCGTTCAGCAGCGATTGCTCCAGGTGTTAGGGTTACAACAGTGAATAGACAAAACTCCCTGCCAGGGCGGAGCTTGCCATTTTAGTAGAAGCAGACAACCAACACCAAAATAGACTTTATAGAGGATGTTAGAAGAATAAGAGCTATAGGAAAAGTAGTGGGGTGAGAAAGGGTCAGGGGAGCATGAGGGGGTTGTGGGGGTTTTTTGTTTGTTTTTTGGTTTTTGAGTTTTGTTTTGCTTTTTTGAGACAGAGTTTCTTGGTGCCCAGTCTGGCTAGAGTGCAATGGCATGATCTCAGCTCACCGCAACTTCCACTTCCTGGGTTCAAGTGATTCTCCTGCCTCAGTCTCCCTAGTAGCTGGGACTACAGGCATGTGCCACCATGCTCTGCTAACATTGTATTTTTAGTAGAGATGGAGATTCTCCATGTTGGTCAGGCTGGTCTCAAAGGGGTTGTGGTTTTAAACAAGGTCGTCACAAAGGCCCCACCAAGAGGTGACAGTTGTGCAGCAATCTTGCAGCCACCGGAGCTCCCGGGTGGGTATTCCAGGCAGAGGAATTGGCACAGACAGAGGCCTGAGGCAGAGATGGACCAGGTGTGCAGGAGAGCAGCAAGGAGGCCGACATGGGAGCAGGGCTGTGAGCCACGTACAAGCAGAGGGCAGAGGCCCAGAGCAGCCTCAGTAAAGGGAAGAAGATGGGGCAGGACTGCACCTCCCTGACAGCATAGGTCCCAGCAGAACAGGTGGCAGAGCAGAACCTGTCCTGCCTGCCTTGGAGACCCCAGGGCCTGCAGGAGGTAGACACCAGGCAGATGGGCACTTGGCACGTTGCCTTGTCACCGCCTTCCCACCCACCCTGACCCCAAGTCAGTGCACAGTGCGGGGGGCCTGGCACACAGGGCACCATGTGGACATGGTGAGCTGTGGTCACCCTGGAGCCAGACCCTCGTGCCGCACTGCACATGGCACATGCCTTCATCTGCCCTCAGCTCCTCTCAAATACCCCCTGCCCCAGGAATTGCCACTCAAATTCCCTTTGCCTGTGGATCCGTGCCAGCAATCTCTATGGCTGGTCCCTGTCATCTGGCCTTTGGTCCGGCATTCCTCCTCCTGAAGCCTGCTCTTGGAACACGCTGAAGCCACCCTGTCTCACCCAGTGACAACAGCGCTATTTCTTTGGTCACCCTTCTGCCGTCTGGAGATCTGGCTGCCTTATTCACTGACTGTGCCTTCTTAGACCAGTAAACTGCATGGGAGCCGAGCCCTGGTCTGTGCATTCACCACCGTTTGTCTCCCCATCCTGGCGCATTCCCTGAATGTTTTCAAATGAAAAGACACAGAGACAGGTTGGGAGAAGCACAGGGCAGAACCCCCCGAGTCTGGCCAGGTGAGCAGCAGCTGTCTCACCACATGACACCCTAGGGTGCTCTTCACTTCCCTCTGTTTGCCACATGGCTAAGAAAAAAAAAAACCACTGGGAAAATCCTGGTGACATTTGCCATGAATCCATGCAGCCCCATGGTTGGTCTCCTGTTGGTCAGGCTTTTCAGGTGTAGCTTCCTGGCCAGTCCATAATGGAGCAGAGGTAAACAAGCCTGACCATCTCAGAAGAGCAATTAAATGGCCACATCTTCACCAGTGCCAGATAGACTTTCCGGCTCTGCCTGCTCCGGGCAGTGCAAGGTATGCATTGTGTGTAACGAGAGCCATCTCGGGTGAGATGGACTGCCGATTGGGCCACGCCTGTCTCCTCCGCCCGGCACAGACGCCGGGGAGCCCCATGCCTCCTCAGCCTCCAGACCTCCTGGCACCAGAGGGAGCCGGGCTGCCCATGCCATTTGTCGGGGTCTGCTGCCAGCTACCTGCTCTGTTTGCAGAAGGACGGCCAGGCCCTGATTCAGGGATTCAGATACCTGCAGGCCTGGTGCTCACTTGAGGGGCTGGCCAGGGTCCTCCACATGCCCACACTCTGTGCCCCATCCCAAGAGAGGGCAGACCACCTACATGTGGAACCTGCACAGCAGACACTGCTGCTCAGGCTCCACGTGAGGTGTGCTGCTCACAGGGTCACCTTCCTAGTACAGGTCCCCAAGGCCAGAGTGTCACATGTCCCTCTGACAGGCATGCAAGGGCCAGCCTGGCTCCTGGAGCCCCGTTCATATCAGCTGCATGTCACTGGCCTTCTCAGGGGACCCAGGCTTTAGATGGCCAGTTATCTCACTTCCACCTGCCAGAGGGAGACCAGACCCTTTGTGCAGCGGGGCAGGCTGTCCCTGGCTGACTCTACAGATGTCCCCTTCATCCAGCACCCTTGTTACCTTTTTAAACATCTAGAGCTGCAGGGCCAGTGCACTATGCTCTCACCGCCTTGAGAACCATTGTCAGAAGCCCACTGAAAAGTGGGCCCCCCCACCCATCACTCTGGGTGGAGAGCAGAAGCTGGCTTTGCCATTGGGTAAGAATCTCGAGCTCAAATCCTGGCTCTTCTGAGCTCACTGTGGGGCTTCCAGTTAGTTACTGCCCTCTTAGACCTTGATTTTCTCATCTGTATAAAGAAGGGGTGGCCAACATCTTCAGCAAACTGAGCCAGAAATAACCCACACAGCCCTGCCAGCCAGCGCTCCCTGTCTGAGATGACAGGCCAGGACCCTCCAGACTGAAGCTTGATGCCTGAGCCTCATGGCTGGCTTATCTTCTCAGGGAGGAAGCTAGTACTGGGCAGAACTGGGGAAAGGCAGGAAAATTCTTCAGGTACCAGGAGGGGCGGTGGCATAGGTGCTCATGGTATGTAGGAAGCTGGGCCCTGTGCCTGTGCCTCTGCCCAGCTTCTCCCTGGCTCTGGACCTCTAGGCCCCCAGCCTATACAGGCCCTTTGTGCACATTGGGAGGGGATCCTGCTGGGATGCCTCCTTGGCAGGCAGGGTTTAGGCTGCTTTCACCCCCACCAGCCCTCAGTAGGATATGCAGGCTGCATACCCAGTTGCCCCAATAGTAGCCCCAGGAGCCACCACCCACGGGGTGTCCCTTCCCCATGCCATTCTCACAGTGCCCCATGATCTTGCTCCCACCAGGACCTCCCAGTGGGTCCATGGGGTTCACAGTAACTGTTCACATGGGGGTGCTCTGCCAGACATGGAACTGCTCTGAGCCCTGGGCCTGCCCACTCCCACAGATGCCGAGGAGCCTGCCGAGTGGTCTCACCCTGGCCAGTAGCCCACACAGAGTCTGCACTGTGCTGTCACCAGGCGATTCCTCATGAATATAAGCCCCACAGCATAGAAAGACATATGTTGATGATCTCACTTATATGTGGTACCTCAAAAACCAAACTCATAGAAGCAGAGGATAGAAGGGTGGCTGAAGGGGTCTGGGGGTGGTGGCTGGGCAGGGAATGGGGAGATCTTGGTCAGAGGGTTTACAGTTTTAGTTAGACCAGAGGAATCAATTCAGGAGATCTGCTGTACAGCATGGTGACTATAATTAATAACAATGTATAGTATTCAATGAAATTTGCTAAGAGAAAAGATTTTAAATGTTCTCATCACCAAAATAAGTATGTGAGGTGATGGATATGTTAATTAGTTTGATTTAATCATTCCACAATGTATACATATATTAAAACCTCATGTTAGACTGGGCAACATGGCAAAACCCCATCTCTACAAAAAAATGCAAAAAATTAGCCAGGTGTGGTGGCATGATCCTGTGGTCCCAGCTACTCAGTAAGTTGAGGTGGGAGGATCTCTTGAGCCCAGGAGGTGGAGGTTGCTGTGAGCCAAGATTGCACCACTGCACTCTAGCCTAGGCAACAGAGTAAGACCCTGTCACACACAAAAAAAATCATATTGTACACTATAAATATACAGTTTGTAATTTATCCATTAAAAAATAAAAAAGACAAGCCCCAGAGAAAGAGCGGTTGCAGCAGCATGTTTAAGGATGAGTGGGACTTCTATTGCCTAGGACGGGAAGAGTGTCCCAGGCAGAGGGATCAGCATGTGAGAGACTTGCATGTGCAATGAGGAGCCCAGGAATGGACCATGGTCAGCAGGGATGCAGGGATAGCACACAGAGGCAGAGGGTGGTGAGGATGGAAGGAGCTAGAGTGGGCCTGAGTCGGAGCATCAGCAGGAAAGAGATTTCCACTCAGACGTTCAGCTGGAGGGAATTGAACAGAAGGTCTTTAGTGAAGCATGGGATGGCTAAAGGAGCTCATAGAGGTGGTTGGAAAGTGGTGGGAGCTGCATCCACCAACACCTGGGAGTGGGGCAGCATCTACCTCTGGCAGAGGATCCAGGATGAGCCATTCACTCTGTGAGCCCCATGGCCCTGCCAGTGGGTTCCTGATGGGAGCAAGTTCACAGGGCTGTGGCAAACTGAGCCGAGGGAGCACAGTGAGAATGGCATGGGACAGGGAGCTCCAGTGGACAGTGGCTCCTGGGACTGCTACTGGGGCGGCTGGGTCTGCAGCCTGCATATCCCACTGAGGGCAGGTGGTGGTGAAGGCAGCCCAGGCCCTGCCTGCCAAAGGGAGCCAGGAATATACACCCTGACTTCCCTCTCTTCTCACACTCTGGCCTTCTGGGACTCCCACTGCTAAACCTGGTCGTGCTGTCTGCAGGGGTCAGACTCCCAGGACACGAGGGTGAAGAATGGGTCTCCAGGAGCAGTCAAGGAGCACCTCACCCAGGGAGCCTCAGATGCTGAGTTTCCAGACATGGACTTAGCATAAGTGTGCTGGAAAGCAATGGGCCACTGGGCGCAGGGCAGGGCCTGAGCATAGCGGGTAGTGAAACGGGGCCTAGAGAAGCACATACTGCATACACCTATCAGATGGGCACCAGAGGGGCTGAAATGTCAAGAATGGACCTAGGCCTCACGGCTGCTTGGCTGGAGAGGGAGGCAGAAGAGGGTTGAGTCTAGGCAGCAGGTGGGCGGACAGGAAACCCATGGGTACTTGGGGTGTGGCAGTGACAGGCTGTCTTCTGTGCCTTGTAGGTGGCCTCAGCCCTGAGTCCAAGAAGATCCTGACTCCAGCCCTCAAGAAGCGGGGCCGGGCTGGCCGTGGCGAGGCCGCCAGGCAGGAGGAGAGCACCGAGCGAACCGAGCCTGCACAGCACGTGGCGCTCAGCCTGTCTTTCAAGCGTTATGTCT